AAGCAGATGCCGCTAATGCTATTAACGGGACAATTATAACTTATGGTCAGGTAAGATGTCATTACTCGGCTAATATTTTTCAGTACTTACTGATCTCCTAGTATCACAAACAATTACCAATTCTGCTTGTGAGACACGCATGCAGTAACATCTTTTTAGTTCTTCCATACTAGAATGAGATCCTGTCAAAACTGGTGAGAAAAGATATGTTGCATCACAAGGCGAGAAAACACGCAAAATTTTAATTGCGATTGAACTTTTGTTGTATTCCTATCAACTATACGAAGAGTTCAAGAATATTCCACAAAATCTCAGTAGGAATGAAATTTTTATGTTTAACCGTTGGCATAAAAGGTCATCTCTGGCTTTCCATCAGGAAGGACTCTGCTATTTTTGGCTGAGTGTTTTTCTTATTCTATCTGCTCAATTTATGAATGCGGTTTCTTAATTAACTTTAATCGGGAATTTGTTTTCTGCAATCAACGGCAGACTGGGGCCGGGAAGACATATAGCATGGAGGTGAAGTATTTTCACTTCAGTTGTCCTCATAATGATTTTATAGAACATAAAAGGCAGCAACACCAAGTTAGTATGACTTTCTGAAGCAGGGACCTGGTATATTAGAATGCGACGAACCGAAGAAGGGGCTGCTTCCCAGAGTTGTGTTTGGACTTTTTGATACCCTAAATCGTTCAGACGAAGAAGACATAAAGTATTCAATTAAGCTGTCAATGGTACCAAGGCACTTACCAATTAACTCCAGGATCTGCAGTAAATGAAGTAACATTTGTTTAAATTTGGTAATTTTTCTGATTTTTTTGGGGGCTTGTCCAGGCTGAAATCTACATGGAGAAAGTAAGGTAAGCATCGTGAAAGCAATTATTTTTCTTATGGCCATCGTGCATGCCGGTGGCATCTGAATGGAAATCTACATGGAGAAAGTAAGGTAAGCATCGTAATAGCCGACCTTTTTAGCTGTAGAATAACTCTTTCTGCTCTTACGTAGGGACCTATTCAATTTATCAAATGACAATATACAGATTAAGGAGAGCAAAACACAAGGAATAATATTACCTGGGGTAGCAGAGGTGAGCAATTCTAGTGGGAATTCTGTATACGCTATTTCGCTCTCTCTCTTTTTTATCTGGTTCAAAAGCTATTTTCCTTTCTACAGTTAGATATATGTCCTGGCTGGCTAGCTCTTAATAAATGAGATTATGAGACGTAAATATGACATGTTCTGTTGGCACAGTGATATGTAGCTAAATTAAATTCTGACAAAATGAGATAAATCAGGAAAAATAAATTGAAGTCATTAGTTCTTTTTAATAAGAAATATTGTTATTTTTCAGACACAAACTTCAGAAGGGAATTTTATTGTTAATTATCATCCGCTGACAGTCTTTGTTGTGGTTACGTCTTAGATTGCATACTGTTCTCTCTCAATTTTTTCACGAGAACAAGAACCCGCTTCATTTTAAATAAGATTAGACCCATTTATTATATCAAACCTGAAACAATTCATTCCGTACATAGTTTATGAACATGTCTTGCTATAAGTTTTACATGATACATTTGATTAAAGTAAGACAAATATTCATTTTATTACAATTGAGAAAACCTTGATAGCATATAATGCTAACAATAGTGGTCATTTTCCGCACTTCAGAAAACTGTACAGAATCCTGCCGAGGCATTACAAAGCCTATCGGTAAGCAAAGAACAGTTTTAGAAGCCATTACAGTTTGATACAAAGTACTTTAGCCTCTAATTCTGATCTTAAATATGCAGAGGGGAATAGCTAACCGAGCAGTGGGAGAGACCCGTATCCTCCTTTTATTTTTTCCTCAACCGTTTTTGTTCTACGATCAAGCAATACATAGGGGAATATTACCTGCGTTCTCCAACCATCCTAAGCTTGAAAACCATAGAAATGAACATGGCTAGCAGCAGAAGCCATTGTGTTTATATATTCACAATCCTGCTGGAATATACCAAACATAAAAGATCGAAGTCTGGAAAAGTCATTCTTGTAGACTTGGCGGGGTCTGAAAAAGTGGAGAAAACAGGAGCTGAGGGCAGAGTTCTAGAAGAAGCTAAGTCCATAAATAAATCCCTTTCTGCACTTGGGAATGTCATAAATGCTCTCACTTGTGGTTTACCGGGAAAAGCAAACCACGTCCCTTATCGTGATTCCAAGCTCACTCGAATTCTTCAGGATGCACTTGTTAGTTCCTCCCCCTCGGCTTGATCAGATCGTAACCCCTTTTTTTTAATATAACCAGAGATATGTTGTTACTTGTTCACAGGGAGGGAATTCTAGGACCGCATTACTCTGTTGTTGCTCCCCAAGTTCCCTAAATGCATCCGAGACCCTTTCCACTCTTCGATTTGGTGCAAGGTATGCTATCCATGAATGTATATAAGCACGGTCCCACGTGATTGAAAATATAGATATTCACAGGGTTGGATGGAATAACACAACTAACTTGCTTAGCAGTCAACAAAGTCTAATTGATAACATGGGCAGCAACTCTAAATGTAAAAAGTGAGATCGACTTTAAGTAGTTTTTTCAGATCAAGGGAAGATATTTGCAAGTTAGGGAGGGGAGATTCTACTAATGATCCTTATCTCATTGTGGGACTTGGTGTTGGGAGCAGGGCGAAACATGTAAAAACCTCCCCGCGTGTCGATTGCAATGAAGAAAAATGCATCAAAGATTACTGTGCCTCCCGTCCACTCGCTGATGAGGCGTGCGCTAGAATTCTGAGCAAGGTGAGAATACTGTAACCGATTTCCTTGTACCTCATTGTGATCTGAGTTCGTAAATCTCTGTTGATACAGTTAAGGGAAAGAATGAATGTTGATGATGTGAAGTTACTAGAGGAATTATTCATACTAGAGGGCATTGTATTTGATCCTCAATCAGTTGAAGAACTGGAGTCAGATTATGAAGATCTTACTCTACAGACTATTTCCTCACTGCAAGCAGCCTTGGAACAATTTATCTCTACCATTGTCGAGGTAAAAGGAGAAAAGTGCCAAAAGCTGTCTCTTTTTCGAAAAGAATTTCTCTGATCATTGCAGTCCATTGACCTTAGTGTCCTTTAATTTCCTAGAAACCCCAGTGCAAAGCCCGGGCTTTTACGAAAATTCACAAGACTCGAAACTCACAAATAGCTAAGCAATACTATTGATACTAATAGTTAGTTGGCTAATTTGAATAAGTTAAAAAAATTAGTTAGAATTATCATGTGATAAAATTTTTAACATATGCAACTAGTAAAAAGATTATCTTGAAAAAAATAGATAAATATGAAAGACAAAATAGACTAAAATTTTGTATTTAGAACTAGATTGAAAATTAAACTAACTCAGATAACATAAGGTAATATAATCCCATCCAAATTGAACCTCAAGGGGATACGAAGGGATCGTAATTCTATGCTAAAATGAGATTTTCTGCGTATACAAGTATGACTTGCATTTGTTGCTCACTTAACTGTTGATTTTGAAATTTTACAGCTCAGAAAGGAAAATAGCATTCTCAAGGCGAAACTTGACGCTGCCACCAACTCTGATGCGTGCAAGGAAGTGAAAAATTCTGTTTTTACAAATATGATTTCGGGCACCCTGGCCTTTTTCAGTAGCCGATCGGTTCACGCTGCCCCCTCCAGTTGCTGACATTAATTCATACTTTTTTAAAGCTTGAATGAATCATTTTCGTTGTTAGTTGGCTAGACAGGGAAAGTGAAATCCTTGACGCGCGAAAGAGTTGCAATGCTTGGTACTTATGACTGTTTCTGTGCCCAACAAGAGTTGTCTAATGCCCGATGGCCATCCGCCCGTCCAATTCCTGAAGCGGACTCAATTACGCGCTTGGTTCCATGTGAAAAATTTGATCCGGGATGGTCAGGCCCATTAAATTACGGCATAGCGTACGTATGATTGCTATTTTATTTTTTTCATATAAATGGTTTGGTTGTCCTCTGAATATCTTTAGTTCTTTACCGATAGAATCATGATGATTTCTTGATCCGTCGTTCGTCACAACGACGCTGCTTTAACCACTTAGTTCAGTAGTTTTACCGTTTGCCAGAAGCCCAAAACAAACTCTGGAAAAAAAAAAAACTCATTCATTTCATTGTGTAGGCCGGAAATTTGGACTTTCACTCATTTGAAATACTATCTCCACTGCTTAATATAAAAGCTAGTTGATTAATTTGAATAAATTAAGAAAATTTGTTGAGTTAATTATTTGTAATAATTAAATGTTGTCTTTTTTAGAATATTCTTGCTAATCATATATATTAATTATAATTACCATTTGATTGAATATTTAACATGTATAACTATTACAAAAACTGATTTGGAAGAAATGGATAAATATGAAAGACAAAATAGATTGAAGTCTTATATTTAAAATCAAAATAAAAGTCAAACAAGGTCTAATATTAAAGGTCGGAGATAGTAACTTAAATAGTTTTTTAATTGTAGGTAAGCATGTAAGAGTAATTTTGTCTCAACATAAAATGTACTTATAGATGATTTTATGAAAAAAAAACCTGTTTAAAATAGTTTATAAATAGTTTTTTAACTGTAAAAAGTTTTGTCTAACTTATATGAAACGTGTTTATATAAATGGTGTCAAACAAGTACTAAATAATGAAAACAAGCATTTAATTTTTTTTTTTTTTGTCTTTCCACCCTCTTGTGCGTGGCGTGGATAAGCTGAATTGGATTTTTCACGATTAGTCAAAATAAAAGGAATAATCATAATAAGGAACTATACGAAAAGCCATCTTTTGTTAGCTCCGGGTTGGGATGTGGATAGATGTTCCGATTTAAATGCTTGTCATGCTCTGGACTGTTGTCCATTAAAAGTGGATTCGCATGCACGATCGTATCACTTAAACGGAGTGTAAACGGTGAAATGCATGCTTGAACCTTGAGCATTTTGCTAATGACCCATGCCCTCCACCACTGGACACACTGCATATTCTGGAAGTTGAAATAATTCATACTTGCCGTTACAGGTCAAAGGTATGATATTATTCTGAAGCTTTCTCACGCTCAATCGTAAGATAACCATTGTTACAACTGCAGATTATACGGTTGATTTTGAAAGAGTAAGAATCTGAGAGACATCTAATGTACATAACCATTTTCTTATTTTTTGGATACATAGGCATAGTATTGTGCCATGGGAACAACGAAGGCAATGACTAACAAGCCTCCAACCACAAGAGAGAATTGTCCACGTTTCTCTTCCGTCTCTTCCCTGGATTTGAAGTTAGACTCTCGTTTGCTGTCTTTGAATGTCGGCCCACCAGGATCTGGAAGCCCATCAATGGCCGCAACTAGCCGTTTGGCCGTACTATAAATAGCTTCATTGTACTTCTCATCCGTGGCCAACACTGCATATATAAACTAGACATGTTGATCAGGTTGCTGTATGTTAAAACAAGATCAAGATTGACGATCTTTTTTTATACCAACAGCAAGGAATTATTATGAAATTTCCACGGAAAAGAATAGTCTGTGCAATTCCAACAGCAGGAGTCAACTATTCATGATGTCCATTCAAATTGACCGTTTTTTAAATCTTTGGCAAACTTGGTAAAATGAATGGGGATGCATAATATAGGCAGAAACGTGGAGATGCAAACTCTTAAAGCTGATTAGAAAACCTTACAAGTACAAACATCCAACAGTCACCCTTCTCATTAAGCTGAAAGTCAAGATAATGCGAGTCTTCTTACGTCAACTCTAAAAGGGTCTTTCAATCAAAATCTGCCACCACCTTTTTATCGAACACATAGCATGTCATAAATATTATGTAGTCTGGATTCATTACTTTACTTTATCTTTCAAACCACAAACTGGATCCCAAAACATACAGCAAATCAGGTAGATATGGTTATGAATAATTACATATCAAAGTTCATTGCTCAAACTTCATCTGGAAATGACAATCGTCACCCCAAGTTTGCCATATATTTATCTGGAAACTTTATCAGCACTAATTGATGACAGTGTTTGCAAAGTGAACAATAAAAAGTGAGAGGTAAGAAGTACCGGGAAGGTTCTCGGATACGGTGGCATCAAGGACCTTTTCTCCTACAGCTTGGACAAATGCTGGGCCGCCTGTGACCGCTCCTTCTTTCTGACTAGTCACAAGAACCACAATACCCTTATTGTTTCCTTCTTCTACAGTGGGATACCAACGCTCCAAACTTGGTCAGCATACTCAAAAGCATCAGCTTTGCTCTGTAACCACCTCACAATTCCAAAAACATCTATCATTCCGTTTATCAGCAGTTCAGTTGACATATAAAGGCAGGGTAAACCCAACTGTGGAAAAGCCTTACAAATTTAGTTCCCAAATTTTTATGTCAATTCATCTTTACTTTCCAAACAAGTAAACGCACAAGCTTGTTCTGGAAGCTAATAAATGGTTACAAAATTAGTCTTTTTCACCACTCGTATATCAACTAATAAAAAATTATAAAACTACACACCACATTTTGACGGGAATCGCTTGTCTTGCACACTCCTATGACTATGGAAGCATGGGAAAGTAAGAGTGTCAGGATAACAGAGATTGGGTTTAAAAGTCGCACAACTAACCGTAAGCTTTCGAACAGTGATAAAATTGATGTGAAAATTCTTCCTGGATTCCAAATCCGACATCAACTGCTTCAAATCCGACCTTGTCACTCGACTAAGCACTCCTGCATCGTCAAAGATGTACGACTCTTTAGGTGGCCCCTCGTTGAGCACATCGAATTCAGATGCCAGCGCATTGTCAGTGTGCAATAGTGGGCTAAAGTTGAGTGCCAAGGAAATAGCCAAAGCTGCCAGTCCCTGCTGAGCCTGGGTCAACCAGCTGGTGCATTTAGGCAAAGATAGTTTGAGAGATGATGGTTGATGCTTTTTGTGACTGGAAGTAGAGGGCTTGATGCAGAAGAGAGAATTCGACTTGTTGGGCGGAATAGAGGGAGAAGACGAAAGGATTTTGGAGGATGAAGCTTTGAATTTCGAGGGAGAGAGCGAGTGAGGTGAAAAAATGGTTGCCATGAGGGAGATTAGCAGATCAGAGAGGCAGATTGAGGGAGAAGAAAGGATTCATCAACAGAAAGTTGATGCTCTCTTGCCTACCACATCTTTCTCAGTACTCTGTATGCTTCAGATTTTTGGTGGCATCCATTGGCTGGCTGTGTTTGGATAACGTCTATTACCCTCGAGGGTCTTTTGGTCCATCTGGCCCACAAGTTTTTTTCCCATCTGTTTTTCACTTAAAATTCAAAAATCCTCAATGAGCTGATTTAGTTCAAGTAAATTTAAAGTATAATTTTTCCTAAAATTTTTTTTTACTGACATAAGATTATTAAGTTAAAAATTAACGACAAAAAATGACTTAATGTTGAACATTTTAATTCAAAGAGTAAGAAAATTTTACGTATGTTTTTAATATATGTCTATATATTTATAAAACTCATGATGGCAGAAAAATATTGATAAAATTTATTATTCCACTCTAAAAATATGAATAGTGAGACTTACACGTATTTGGGAGAAAAAGAAAGACTTTTTTTTTTTTTTACCAGAAAAAAAAGACTGACTTACATGTAAATTACGCCTCCTAATTTATAAATAAATCTTAGCGGGAAAATACGATTTTTCTCCATATATTTAAGCACAAGTACCGGTTGAAATGACTTTTAACCACCCCTTATGCCGCGGAATGCCCAGGCCAGGAGCTACTTTGCCCAAAAGGCACCCTGTATGGTCACCTCCATTAGGAACGGCCATGATAACTGTCCTCATTCTCTTTCATGGCCATTCCTCTCTCCCCTTTTCCGAATCCTGGAAATCCTATCCACAACCCTAATCCCAGCTTCCGCAAGTACTTCTCCTTCATCCTCAAACCCGTAATTTCTATCCCTAACTCCAACTCAACCTCCAAGAGGCATTTGCTACTCAAAACTTCTTTGCTCTGCCTCACTCTAGCTCCTCAACTCCCACTTGCGCAATCTTCCGCTGAAGTTCTGCCTTCCAAATCGCTTCTTTCTAGCATTGAGAATACGAAATCCTGGTTTCAATTCTACGGCGATGGGTTTGCTATTCGCGTCCCACCTGATTTCCAGGACATCAATGAGCCGGAGGTAACTTCCAAATAATCTACTATGCGCTGCTGACCAACTGACCATCTGATGACGAATGTTTGCTGTTATGTTTTCTTTTCTCATTATGATATCGATGTTGCCACATTTTCTTAATATTGAGATTTTTCTTTTTTGCCATTTAATGTCGATTACTTTAGTAATTTAGTTGTGGCATGCGTTATGTCTTGTGAGTTTTTTCCGAATAGGCGAATGGCTGAAATTCCCATCCATGCTTTGTAGGATTATAATGCGGGACTTTCTCTTTATGGGGACAAGGCAAAGCCAAAGACTTTTGCTGCACGGTTTGCATCACCCGATGGGTATTCTTATTATTGAACTCTTATTTTCTTGTTTCGCTTTTGTTTAATGTTTTGAAGAGATATGGAGAACTTGTGCTTTTTCACCATATCATTGATTTCGTTGTAAACTATTATGTAAATAAATTGAAAGCATTATAACACTTAAATTTTGACATACATTTGCTGGAGAAGCTGAGCAGTGTCCTGACAACTGTCAGGCTGTCAGCCAGACATTGGCATATATACTTGACGCGTATATTTGATTCCTTTGTATCTGAGAGGGAGAAAATTTGAAGTTACTCTGTCCAAGGTTTAAATAAATTTCCAAAGCAGTCCTTAACTACATCTTGGATTTCTGGTTTTTTTTCCTTTGGTTGAAACAGATCTGAGGTTCTCAGTGTTGTTACTCGCCCAACCAATCAACTAAAAATCACCTTCTTAGAGGTAATTGGACCTTCAATGCAGCTTTATTATCATTATTACTAGTTACTGTAATTGATGTTAGATACAGTTCCAGTCTTGGTTTTGATCTTTTTAGGAGCTTACATATTCCTCGCTGATTGGAGCAGGCACAGGACATAACTGATTTAGGGTCCTTGAAGAGTGCGGCAAGAATATTTGTTCCAGGTTTAAATTTTTATTTCAAATTCTGTTTGCTCGCTTTGCTTGGTTCTGCGATATGTTATAGGTTGAGCCTTTCCAGCATTGCCTCATCCAAACAATCTGCCACCATGCCCCTTCGTGATCATCATGCTTTAAACAAATAAGCATCCAACACCCCTTTGCTCACATGACCCACCAACGTTTAACTTCATGCAATGTCTCAAATAAAATTGCCACCCCAGCATACTTCCTCTTGATTAACCGATCAATTCCAGAAGAATTTAGCTACAGTGCGTGCTGATTATACTTGCTCACCCCTTGTAAAGTTCTCAAGAAGAAATCCTCAGCGCCAATATTTTCCTAATGCAAAACAATTTTATCCCTGGCTTTTGGTATCTAAGTTTGCTCATGGCCTTGCAGGAGGGGCAACTCTTTACTCTGCTCGAACAATAAAAATCAAGGAAGAGGATGATTTCAGGTAAATTTGATTTCAAAAGGATTATAATATAGCTACCTAACAGTTGAGGGAATTCCACAACGCATACTCTTTTTACCTCCCTGGAGAAAGGGAGATCCCATACCATAAATATTAACTCTCTCTTTTGGTTTGCTTGACATAGAACTGATGAGTAAAAGCTATGAATGGCTGAATTAATCTTGCATGCAGTTGCGGTGTTATCTGCAAACAACTATATTTATCCTTCAACATGAAATGATATTCCAATGCAATATTGGCTTTTTATACATCAGGACGTACTATTTCTATGAATTTGGTAGATACGAAGAGCACGCAGCATTGATGGCGGGTGTTAGCAGCGGAAAGGTATGTACCACCTTCATTTTACCGATAGGACTGTCTAAGTCCTAGCTTAATTAATATTATGTTTTCCAGGCAATTATTGCTGGGGCTACAGCGCCGCAGTCCAAGTGGGAGAGGGATGGTGTAAAACTTCGTTCCGCTGCTATATCATTAACAATTCTTTAGCCATTTGCTGAATTTTGTGAACTGGCAGATCACGCCCTCAAGTGCTTCAGTCCTCAATGTCTTCAAACATGTTTGAGGCAAGACTTCTATGAAAACTTCGCAGGAGATCGTTGGTCTTGTTTTTTGGTGGCTGGAATTTTCATTCACCTACAAAATATGAAAAAAATTGAAAAGAAGTGAGTATGGCATCTCTAAATTTGATTTCAAGACTGGAATAAGTGGCAGAGTAATTCAAAGATAATAAAATCTAATGTTGAAGTCCGTATTTACACAAGGCCAGCACGCATGGTTTTGATGATCATAGCATTCAGTCATGGTTTAGTCTGCAGTTTGTGAAGGCTGACGCCTGACAAGCATTCCATTGTTACTCCGCTGCATCTCTTGTTTGAATATAATTAGGTCCATCTTTGCTACATCAATTATAATATTTTATGTAGTTATTGATGATTTTTTGAAATCAAATAAATAAATAAAATCCTGGCTTAGTTAAGGTTCAAGGTCCCCAACTTACATGCTGCTGCTGGCATGACAGCCCCGACGGGGCCTATTGAACATTGAGATAATGGGCCCCACCTTCAACTGATAATCCTGAGATCTACTGTCTCATCCCAAGCGCTTGCTTTGCGGGATGGCCTCTCTTCACATGTAACAATCCCATCAATCTGATTTAAGAATGGGCTTGGGCCCCGTATTTTCACCCCAAGAAAGAAAAAAATCCCGTCAATTACTAATATCAATGTCACCTGGATATCTATGAAATATATAACAAATTATGCTATTTATCAACGACTCATGAAAAATTTGTTGAATTTCATGTGAAATACTGTTACAATGAAAACATGAAAATATATCCATCTATATAATGAAAAAAAATATTCCTTTATAAATAATGCTGCTCAGTCATTAAATTTTGCATTTGTCATGAAAAGGATATCCAGTTTACATCATAAGGCAGATTCACCAATTTCAGGACATTCTTGAACACCAGGCTAGGCCCATTTTTGCATTCAATTGGGAGGAGTGAGTCGGGACGGAAGGGACTTGCGTGGACATATGTTAATTGTCATATTAAATTTCTTAAAAGCCACTTGAGGATGCAGGCCCAAAATGACTTATCGGTAATAATATAATAGAATAGAATAGCAATAAAATCAAAATGATTTAATAATACCTTGCGTGACTTGTATTAAAAAAAAAATAGTAATAGTAATCCCACGCCGTCACATTTTTTGGGTTTTTTGAAGTGGGAGTTTTGGCCAAATAAAATAAAATAAAACAAACAAGTGGGAGAGGAGGGGAACGGACTCCCGGGAGGTCGCTCTCCAGTGTTCGAGCAAGTAGACGCACCAATCAATGGCCCTTCATGCTGCTATTTTTGCGGCTGCGCTGAAGTCTGTAAACCCACGTCTTGAAAGTTGGTGATTAATTGAAAATGGATCTCTGTACGAATGAATTCCCCCCACCTATTATAAATTTATAATTACGTTACCTCCAACTTTCTTCCATCACAAGGTCTAAACCCCTTCCAACTAACATTCCTCATCAGTCATCGTATCCCATGCTTGAAATGTCAAGCAACCAACTGAACCAAGTGTGCATAACTGAGCTTCAAGCACTACTTTGCGGCTCCGGGAATTCTTCCCTCCGAATGCCAGCTCTTGCCGTAACTCACTCCTCCAAATGGCTCTTCTTGAAGCCACTCCTGCTTTCTTCCCACTTCCACTTTCCACATCATATCTCAACACCAGCACCGTTATCGCTCTCTGTGTCTTCTTCGCACTTCTCTGCGCTTGCATCGTTATCGGTCACCTTCTCGAAGAGAACCGCTGGGCCAATGAATCCATCACTGCCCTCCTTCTGGTACTGCCTACTCGGCTCATTCCATCCTTCCTGATTTATTCCGAATGCGCCGTTATTTCATGATGTTTAATTGCTTTGGAGCTTGGTTTTGGTTTTTGTACAGGGCCTGTGTTCTGGAGCGGTGGTCTTGCTGGTGACCAAGTTCAGTAATACTGAATTTTTCAAATTCAGCGAAGACTTGTTCTTTCTTTACCTGCTTCCTCCTATCATTTTTAATGCCGGGTATGATTTCTCTCCCATACCTCTGCCATACCTCTGCTTTGTTTGGTACCACAGGATCCCAAGGAAGTATAATAATAATTATAACCATATGAGTTTGGAAATTTTGCCTAATTCTGGGAAAAGTATTTCTGGGTCTTGGTAGTTAAATTTTCATGTAAGTCCAGCGTTTTGTAAATGCTAATTATTCTGGGAAGTGAGCCGCGGATGATTTTAGACCTCTGGAGAGATCCGCGAGGACTCTGCATTCCGAGGTTCGGTTCTAGATCACATTATAAGTATTTTTTCGCCTGATAAGAGATAAGAGTGTAAAGTGCCAGCTTGTTAATCTAGAGGCTTGTCAGACTAGGAGATTACGAAGTATTAGAGTCTTAAGTTCTTTCTTCCTAATAAGGTTTTGGTGTTGTTTTTCTTCTTGGTTTAATTCACCTCTAACTGTATGTTAGTTTCCAAGTGAAGAAGAAGCAGTTCTTCAAGAATTTTTCAAGTATTCTGCTGTTTGGAGTCATTGGAACTGTTATTTCGTTCTGCTTCATATCAGCTGGTAAGATCTGAGTTCTCCTGAAATTTAGTTACTTTGGGTCTCATGGTGATTATTTTATCCAGAGACTTTGCATGTTGCTATCAATTTGTCAATCTACATAGTATATGTTTCAATATGATGTAAGGAATAAAAATTATCTGTTTTTATTTCTACAACTTCTCCAGGTGCCTTTTTTCTGCTCAGGAAGATAGGTCTAAGCTTGAATATTCAAGATTATCTAGGTAAACAAAATTATTATTTGATACAAGCATTTATTTTCTGGAGAATTATAAACAAAAATCCTCCCATGAAATTCTTAAATTTAGGAATCAAATAACGACAAAATGGCTATTCAGTTTAGAAGTTGAACGGGATAACTATATCCTGCAGTTGGTCCTTACGTGCAAAAAATTTCGTTGCCATGTTTATAATTCTCCCTCTTCTTCTTAAATTGGTCATCATTTATTCTTCTATTCTGATTGTTCATGAACCCATACATGTGAAGCCATTGGTGCCATATTCTCAGCAACTGATTCAGTTTGTACATTGCAGGTATATCCTAATCTCAGCTTAAATCCCAAATGTTGTTTCTGAAAGAAATTGATACTTGAATTTCATGCTTTCGTTTTCTTTTTTTTGGTTAAGGTTCTCAGTCAAGATGAAACACCCTTCCTATACAGCATTGTATTTGGGGAGGGAGTTGTAAATGACGCAACCTCTATTGTACTTTATAATTCAGTCCAGTCCCTTGACTTCAGCAGCATCAGTGCCACTACAGCCCTGAAATTGTTGGGGACATTCCTTTACCTCTTCCTCACTAGCACTGTCCTTGGTATATCAGTAAGTATAACCGAATGTGCTGTTTGCTAGGTGAAGATTCTAAGTATTTATTTCATGAGGTTATTCATCTCATTAGGTGTTATGTAATATACAATGTGAACTCACCGTTTCACTAGCACATTGAGTAAGCTCTCTGAAAGCCCGTAGGGTATGCATTGATTGATTTTCAGAGTTGTAATCTGGTTCATTCATGCCTGCTTGAGTCTTCTAGGAACTGTTCCCCAATGAGTCACAAAGTCCTTGCAAATTAAACATTCAATTCTTAGTCTTTGGAAGAGGAGTTCCATTTCTTTTCTGACCTATATCGTGATTTTTTCAGGTTGGCCTTTTGAGTGCTTTTACTATTAAAACACTTTACTTTGGAAGGTATGAATATTCATGTTGCTTCTGTATAAATCTGCATGTATAACCTTACACAAGTACATTTAACTGTTCAGCTATTAAGGACATATTTTGTTTAAGCTTAAAATAAGTGATTTTCAAATTAGCTGAAAACGTGATTGATTGTTTAGAGATTTTATGAAAAGCAGAAGTCATTTTTGTTTGGTTACAATTAAAAAAACTAGGGTTAATCCCCATCTTTAATCCTTGAAATTTGATCTTATTTTGGTTTTAATCTCTGAAATTTGATTTGATTTTGGTTTTGGTCCTTGAAATTTTAAACTAATGGTTTTGGTCCCTGAAATTTGACTTCATTTTGATCTGGTTTAAGAAGTTTGGTCCTTGCTTGAAGGACCAAATCCAAAATGAGGCTAAATTTCAGAAACCAAAACTACTCCTTTTGAATTTCAAGGATCAAAACCAACATGAAATCAAATTTCAAGAACCAGAACCATGATTTCAAATTCCAAGGACTAAAACCAAAATGAGATCAAATTTCAGGGACTAAAGATGGTATTAACCCTAAAAATTATTTTTGTTTGAAAGTGCTTTTTAAAATAATCATAAGTTATTCAAAATAGTTTCACAAAATAATTAGAAATATGAATTTTTCTATATTTTAATTACTTATTTTTGAAAACAAAAAAACAAAAAATGATTTATTAAAAAAAGTTGAAACATATAGGTCCCAGTTGTATATCCCTCAAATGCTTCTTAGCGTCCCTTGCAACTGAAATAAACAATTTCTTGCCTTCCTAAATCTGGTAGGATGTATAATACTTTTTTGATTATAAACTTTTCTATTGTTGTTCGATTTGGAGTGAACTTGGAGGTTCAAGGAAAACGATTGGCCACACAATGGGCTCAGTTAGGATAAAAAGTCATAACATACGGATTTCTTTAGTTTTGTCCTCCCTTTTTCACTGTATAATTGTAATGTAAACAGCACTAGCATATGGCAATGGAATTTTATCTCCGCACTCATTCCGCTTTGAAAGAATGCAAAATCATGTTAAGATATTTACTTTCAATATCAAAAGACAACAGAAAACACCGGCAAGTAAGAGCAAGCTGATTTTATGAAATGCTAGTTTAGATTTATCATTGGCTCAAGCAAGGACCCTAATTAGCGTATTAAATATGAATTGTAAGCCTGATGGACTTTATGCTATTTGACACATTTCCTTTTATTAACAGGCATTCTACAGATCGTGAAGTCGCACTCATGATGCTTATGGCTTATTTATCATACATGATTGCTGAGGTACCTTAACCATCTCCGCCATGAAAATATGCTTATAAAATCTTGTCTTCTTTGAAGAGAAAATGAAGTATTTTAGGTGTTTAGGTTATGTAAAAATTCTTCATACGTACTCTAATTATATCTTTCCATCATCACGATCTGCCATAGGGAGTGGCAGTACTGAATTGAATTTATGCATGTAAGAAAACAATAACAGTAGAGATGCAAAATTAGAGTTTACTGGCATAAGTGCTATAGGATTATAGAGAGAGGTTTTCCCTACTGAATGGCAGCAGCTGAGAGCATGACAGTGAAATCATTTGCTTTATAATTCTTACAGAACCCTTAACAAATGCTTCCAGTTGATCTCCCTCGGATAAACAAAGTACAGCTTTACACCAGAAAATAAAAATAAAAGCTCTAATGCATTACTTCCAGATACAGTGCATACTGATATGCAGAACAATTATACACAACCCACTTAGATATTCCTGCTACGGAAGCAAATGACACTAATGAAGGAAGGATAACAAACACAGTATCAGATTACTAACATAGTACGTAACACATAAGAAAAGGTGCAGACTCAGACACTATAAAATTTCTAAACAACATACATGCCAGTCTTTCGAGGGGATTGGCTTTCCGCCTGAAGCCTAAGCTTGACTCATAATTTCCCTCTCCTCCCCAAACCTTCCCTGCCCTTCTATTTTATATACCCCACTGACATCCATCCATTCATCATGACCCCCTTATTTTGATGCTCTATCTTCTGCTTTATCTGACTTCTAAACATTATGTTTTCATTGGACCAATAGATCCCCATTTTCTGCCTTTTTGCCACTCCCCTGTGCCCCTCTTCATATGTTCTAGTCGTGGTAGGGAGTTGGGTCTTATCAAATTCTTTTTTTTTTTGGCCTCTCTTTGATTAATATTTGGCTTATAATTCTAAGCTATAAACAGTTCTGGCTTTTGCAGCTTTTGAGTCTCAGTGGGATTTTGACAATCTTCTTTTGTGGCATTGTCATGTCACACTACACGTGGCACAACGTTACAGAAAGCTCGAGGATAACTACCAAGTAAGGAAATTATCTGTAACTCCCTTTGGTTAGGGCATGCTGATACTAGTGTTAATCGTTAATCAGTTATGAAGGAAAGGGTCGTATTAGAAATTTGGTTGCTAAGTTTAATGAAAATTCGTTTCATTCTATTACATCTTGTTCTTCTCTTATTTCCTTTTTCTTCATGTTCTGGTGAATATTTCAAACTTTATTTTGACATATTAGAATTAGAAAAGGAAAAAGAAAAGGGATGGTTTTAGTTAGAATGCACCTTATGGAACTACTTTCTTGATCGCAGGCATGCTTTTGCAACTCTCTCATTCATCGCCGAAACTTTTATATTTCTATATGTTGGCATGGATGCCTTGAATCTTGAAAAATGGAAAACCAGCAACGCAAGGTATCTAAGAGCTTCCTATTTCGTAGATATTGACTTGTGCAAAAACCAGCCAAGCACGGGAAATAACAAATTTTCTGCATTACTTTCCCTCTGCATAGAGGATAAGTTAATTAAGAGTTGGTCCATTGTGTTAGATGGAATCAACATGGCTTTTGATTAAATTGGTTGTTCTGTATTACGTTTTTATGTAACCATTGATTGAGTTCACAAACCAGTGGTGCACTATAAGTTCTCTAAATTGTCATATGCCCATGTTATACGAACAGCTTGGGAACTTCAATTGCTGTTAGTTCAGCTTTCTTGGCGTTAGTGTTGATTGGTAGGGCAGCTTTTGTGTTTCCTATTTCAAACATTAAAAACTGCATCGAGAGACAAGAAAGTTCCAAAATCAAGTTCCGATCGCAGGTGATAATTCGGGACTTCAAACTCATTAGTTCTCAGTGTTGTTAGGTCAGTTGACCTCATTTGATTCCTGATTAAATGTTCAAAAATGTCAGTTTATAATATGGTGGGCAGGCTTATTGAGAGGTGCAGTGACTATTGCCTTGTGCTATTACCAGGTTAGTAGATGTCATGCCAAGTTCATTCTTTTTAAAGACATGTTTTTAAGTCCCCCCTATAAGACAGGCATTTATTTTGGCTACTTGGAATTGCAGTTTGAAAAGGCGAGATTGTCAGCTCAAGAAAGTGCAGTGGTGATCACCTCCACCATAACCGTCGTATTATTCAGTACTATGGTGGGTTTCCTCTTCTGTAAATTATATGAACCGCATCAAGGCATGATCAAATGTAGATTGTATTGACGTGAAACCTCCCATTGCAAATGAAGGTGTTTGGTTCCATAACAAAGCCCTTGATTCAGGCGGTGCAGCTGAGGCATTCAAAACCAGCGATTTCTGAGTCCACTGAAAATACGGAGGATTTCAGATTCTTACTCCTTGAAAATGTTGGTCCCAGTGACCAGGGCAATAATCAGCCAGGCCGGAGGAGAGGCAGCCTAAGTTTACTGATAAGTAATCCCACGTCAACGGTTCACTACTTTTGGAGGAAATTTGACGATAAATATATGAGGCCAATATTTGGTGGGAGGGGTTTTGTTCCATTTGTTCCTGTTTCTCCTTCTTCCGATTCTAATGAACCGCCGGACGCTCCCCCAGCTCCAGACAATGCAGCTACTTAGTTTGTTTCAGCTGCTCTGCGCATGTATCAATTGAGCGTCGTTATATGTATCTATTCCCCGCCCTACTCCCAGCAGACACATTTGTTCATACAGAAATAAAATTTATATACAGTCACACTATTTTCAAGTCAATAACGGTGTCGGTGTGACTTTCACACATTGGTGCACTATAGGATTTAGTTTTCTAGATTTTGTGTTGTGATGTATGGTATTTGATCATTTATATCTGTCAGTTGCAAGACAAATACACAGGAAAGCTGTCTTATGACGATGGTAATTAATAATTATGCATTTCATGTCTTTCTAGTCGATAAAAATTTAAAATAGAAATTTTTCACTAATTTGTTTTGGCCAAAAATAGAATTCTGCACAGAATATAAAACAAGTAGACTTTGTTATGTGCACAATATAGAGCACACGTCACGTTACACTCTCAGATTACTTTAGGGCCCGTTTGGTACGCTGGAATTGAAGCCGGTGGATATGGAAATGGAATTCAATTCCATCACAAAGTTTGTTTGGTACAAAAAGAAGGCATGGAAATGGGTTCCATGTGGAAGCCAAACTGATGGAATTGGCTTCCATCATACAACTGATGGAATTGTAAACAATTCCATGGAATTCTCCTTTTACCCCTTTCTATCATCTCTTTCTACAGAACCTTTACCCTCCTCGTTTTAGCTGGTGAATGACAATGGTGGCAGCCACCTTTGGCAACGACGCCACCTTCGGCAATGGCGATGGCGGCTAGATGCTAGCCTACTTTCTGCTCTTCAAGCTTCTGCCACGATGATGGTTAACGATCCAGTGGCTTCGATCTTGTCTCCCACTGCCCTCATCTCCTTCCCTCACACTTGATGGCTTCAATCTTGTGGCGTAAGTTTCTAGATCTGCACAATCTAGAACTAAAAACTTGTTAAAGCCATTGACCTTTTCTTTCAGTGTCTTAAATCTACCTGCTTTCAATTTGCATCTAACTACTTGCGAGCGAAGATGAGTCTCAAGTTTTTCACGAAGATTTGCATATTAAGAACCATATATTTTTGTTTTATTTCTGCATATTCAATTCAATAGATTCCATAGATTATATGGTCATATAAGCTTTTTGCTTTTGATGCATAAGAAAGGAATATAGAGGCGCCTTTCAACTTTTTCTTCCATTCGAATATTGGCATTTTTTTGGTTCCATTTTATTTTCAGATATGGTTCTCAACTGACTATGGTGGCTAACGGTGGAGTGTGGTGGCGTTAGTGGCTGGGGTTGAAGTTGGGGTGGGTTGTTGTACTGTTAGGTCTTTTAGATTGAAAAATATATCAAGGGCAGTATAGTCATTTAATACAAAAGGTACTCATTTTAATAAAAAAATTATATCTCATTTCCATGACATACCAAACACACTTTTAAACCCCATTTCCATATCCATCGTTATTTCTATATCCATCTCCATTTCCATCAAAACTAATTCCAGCATACCAAACGGGCCTTTAGAATTCCTCCCAAGAGGGAAGGAGACGCGTTGAGGGGCTGGCAAACTCGAGCCATGCTTAATAGGATGATGTGATTTTCGCTGGAGCTACATTTTTTTGGGGCATCATTGTGAGAATGATAATGTGAATTTTGTTTTTTTTTTTTTAAAAGAAATTAACTTTTCCTCATGCGTTACAAAGAGACAATTATTTAAGATAACGTAAACAATAAAAACTGAAAATAATTTGAAGAGAAAATAATAATAAAACAATAAATACTAATATAACTGATTTTTTTATTAAAAGAGAATCTGATTAAAAAATGTCCAAAAATATCCTCTGCAATATGCTTGCCAATAAAAAATTTGACCGAGGTCTCCTTTTTCATTATCCATCCCCATAAGGCCTGGGCCTAACTTTGGTGAAGTGATATCGTGCTAAATTCCCAAACCCCGGAATCTCGGGGAGCACCATTGCTAGAAAATTATTGTCGCGGGCACGGGGCCGTAAACTTGCAGGGCGGCGTTGTGGTCGGGCCATGGAGGGGCGCGGGTTGGATGATTCTGCCGTCCGTCTGGTTTCTGCTTTCCTGGCCATGGAACCTTCTGACTCCTTGATCTCCCATGCCAGGTAGATACAGATTACTTTCACATGCTTTCGCTTTTAGCGAATTGGAATGAGTAACATATTGTCAGTGATTGCAGGGTATGTGGTGGAGGCTTAATCACAGAGCAAGTGCAAGAATTCATCTGGGATCACTGCCTGAGCAAAGCTGTAAGTTCTCAACTCATCAGTTCTCCTGTGCATAAAAGGGGTTTAGTTCACCAGATGGTAAATTTCCAATGCTCTCACCCTTTGACACCCCCCCGGGGGCCCGGGGGGGGGGTTGTTTCTATTTTTACCCTGGAAAACTGATCACTAGACGTTTCCATTGTCACGCTGTATGCTACACCCTTTTTTTTGGTATCTTTGTTAAATGTAAAGATTGAATGGGGTGAGTGATCAATGCAGGCTGGATTTCATGCTCCATACTTGAAGAACTCTTTAAAGAAACTTATCATTGAAGTTGAATCGGAGCATGGCAGTGTATTGGATAACTTATACGAATTGTATGCTCACTACATGACATCAATAAAGGTGTAATATTCAAGCAGTGTCTTTAGGCCATGTGCTTTTCTATTGTTGGGAATTTTAGATTTATTTTCATTTTTTCCTGTGGGAGCCAGTTTAGGTTTGTATATTATCTGTGTCTATTTAGACCTTTTTGGTGATATAATTATCTATTTGTTTATTCGGTTAGGACAATAGTATGGTCAAAAGCGATGCAAAAATCCAGAAAAGAATCTCATTTCTTTTTCCTGATGGTAAATAAAAGATAATCCACGTTGATTATGCATTATTATGATTTTATGTCATTCAATCTATCTTTGGTTGGTAATTGGGGTCGCTATTCACTAGGTTATTCTCAACTACAAAGTTGCCCGCGCTCAAGGGTCCTGATATTTCCATTGCAATGTTCTTTAAATATGCTTGAAGGTGATACCGGGTAAGCTTCATCCTTAATATTTTTAATTATGCAGCATCGAACTAGTGATTTTGTTTCTGTCAGTTATTCTTTGGTATTGAGAGTGATTTGGTTTAGAATGGGTGTATTTCCTCCTTTCCTTGTGTGTATGTGTATTTTTGTTTATTACGTTCCTTGTTAATATTTTTTCATCTTTAAATCCCAATGACCAATATGGCTTTCTGACTGAACCTTTCTGAAGTCACTTGTTTAAAATGGTTGTTTGCCCCTCCGCCCTTTTGCACTTCTAACTTTTCTTTCCCCAGATTCCTTATGCCTTCTGAATTTTTTGTCTGTATCCTTTTTTTTTTGGCTGGGAATTTTCTTGTATGTGTCAGACAGAGGTTTTATTAAACTTTTTTATTGTTTTGATATTGCAGGTGCTCAATATGGCCATCAAGTCTATTTTTGTCTGAGTTAATACTTTCTTATCCTGAATTATTTTATAATAAATCTTGTTTTGAGGTCAGTTTTATATTCAAAAGTTTCTTGACTATTGTAGCAATGACCTAACAGCTAATATTAACTAATCATATGTAGTTCATGAATGTGAAAATATAATTATTATCTCCTTTTGAGATTGCCTAAGGAGACAAATTTTCGCTTTGGTTGGATTTTCACGTTCTGTATATAACTTCATATCATTTCATATGTTGCATCAGGATATTTTGGCTAATCTTATTATATTCTACTTTGTTACACATGGCTAACATTTGAGACAGATTGGTTCAGGGGTTGGCTTAGTTGGGATGTGTCTTGCTCATGTGAAAGCGTCTAAGGTATGCTTAAAGAAAACTAAAATTCCGTGATAGCTTCAATCAATGGAATTTCTATTCTTAAATTTTAGTAATTTATTTTAGACAAGCAAAAATTGTCAAGGATTTTATATGGGTAGCATTGGCTGTTGGGTGATAATACTTGCCAGGTTTCAATTCCAATCAGCATAAAGTCCTAATGAAGTGTGTGTCGACAGGTGATATTGAGTGATGGTGACTTGTCAACTTTAGCTAACATGAAGTCCAATTTGGAGTTAAACCACTTGAACGTGGAACTTAAAATGGCAGAAAGAAACAAAAACCTTAACATGGTGAGTATTACTGCTCATTGGATCCTAACATGCTCTCTCTCTCTCTCTCTCTCTCTCTCTCTCTATATATATATATATATATATATATATCAGATTGATTGCATGAGTTTATTCGGTTTCCTCTGGTCATAGCATATTCTGACCAGTAACATACCAATGTATGAATGTTATAGAATTTCATATAAAAATTTAAATCTCGAGATAATTATTCACGCTTAACTTTGTGGGAAGAAATGGAATTGAAGTTACTCAAAGAGCGAACATGTTCGACAGTGCAATAGATCTAAAGGGAAATTGAATCTAAAATGGGGATGGAAGATGGTGATTAGATTATGAAATTTAAATAGAAACGTCCAATAGTAGTAAGCGTCTGGTGCTCCCCTCCAGTTTGAGAGGTAACAAAATTCAGCGTCTTTCCTTCTTTCGATGTTTGCTTCCTATGATGTTGAAACTCAAGAAGGGGAATGGTTCCATTTTCATTGTCTTTTGTTCTAATCCCATTCGCTCAAAGACACTGTTAAAAGTAATAAATTTATTCTTGGAGAACTGAATCATGCGTATCAAGGCTCTGCAGTTGCATGATCTGAATCTTTTCACCTATCTCAGGTAAAGTGCATGTATCTCCCATGGGAATCTGCTTCAGAAAGTCAGCTCCAAGATGCCATGCCGGACGTTGTGTGAGTGTTGCAGGTGCCGGGATGCTAAACTTATAGTTGTTAAAATGCCATTCTTATCGTATCGTTACTGTTGTTGTTTCAGTTTGGGTGCAGACGTGATTTATGATCCGGATTGTCTTCCACATCTTGTTCGAGTTATTAGCATTTTGTTGAGCCACCCGAAATCATGTTCTTGCGGACGGGTTGCTAGCTGTGAGGGTGTTGCGCCGAACAATAATTATGAAAACGACGAACTTCATTATACGAATCAACGTAATTGCGAAGATCATGGTGACGGACCTGCCGTTGCAGGAACCGTAACTGATAATGATGGTGGTGGTGAGGGGCCGAAGGAGGCTCCGTCGGCTTATATAGCTTGTGCTATACGCAATGTTGAAACGTTCAACTATTTTCTTTCTCTGGCGGATCAGGCCAAACTTGATATCGCGGACTTAACTGATACGCTGAAGCCAGTAAATCTTCTCCCTTACATGCATTCATACAACCAAGCTACCATTAGACTGTTACGGATTACTTACAGTCCGTAGAATCAGGCTTTGTATAACATCATTACTATTGCTCTTGCATGTATTTTAGGTGCCCCAAATTTCTGGGATGTCCGATTCTGGTGTATTTTAATTAAGGATTAAGTTGTATTTAGCATTCCGAAATATTTTGTTACGTGCGTTTAGTGTTCTAAAGCATTTTATGATGTGTTCTAAAACTGTGCTTTTGAAGTATTATTTTATAAGCAGTTTTAATTCCGTCATTAACTCTGCAAAAAATCTGTTAAATAAATGTGTATTAATTACTATAAAATATTTTTCAGGGTGTTGGATATACTTAAAAAAATATTTTAACATATTGGATGCATCATAAAATACTTGTAGATATTGGATGTACTTGGAAAAATATTTTAGATGTTGGATGCATTTTAATCCTTTAATTAATTATTATTTGGTTTGAGGTTAGGTAACTAAAAAGTGTAAAGCCTTGCTTGATGGTGCCGTGCTTTTTCGTTGGGCAGTTGTGGACAGAATGGCTTTTTAAATTTATTCTCATTATGGTTTTAGTTTTTTAAGTTTTAAATTATAGATTTTGATCTTTTAAAGAATAAAATGGTTCAAGTTTTGATTGGATTATAGGGGTTAATATTTCAAATGAAAAGAAACTTGAGGAACTAAAATTTAAAACTTGAAGAATCAAAACCAAAATAAGAATAAACTTGAAGGATTAACGTTTATATTAACTCTAAATTTTTTCCTTACGGTTTTTATTTTATAGTAATTTGTTTAATTAAGAATTTTTTTTCAGACTGAAATCTGGTGGTAGTCATTTCTGTCTTTTTCATCACCGGAATTTTTGTTAACGGAGGAAAGAAAAGTTGCCGACGTGGCATGAAGTTTTAGAGTTTAAATAAAACTAATTTAATTATATTAAAGTAAATACTTATTATTAATTTAATGTTATTTAACTCAGCAAAATAAACTCAATAAATATATCGTCTCGTACACCCAAAATTCTGATATTAAAATTAATATTAAGTTCTGCTATCTATAAGAAGGTGTTTGGGTAATTTAAAAAGCGTTTTTAAAAAGTATTTTTTTGTAAATAAAGATAAAACCTTCCACGTATTTATTTTTATTTCGTATACCGTAAATTTTTTTAAAAATTATGATTTGGTATTTATCTAAATACTTCCTAAATTGTAAATAGTGATAATATTTTTTTTAAGATCAGCGTGACAGAAATTTAATCGCCATAAAATATGACGTGATGCCTAATACTCCTAGTAATTTTTTAGACTTGACATATACTTACATACATATACATATATGTATGTATATATAAAACACAAGCACCCCTTGCAAAAACGAACCCTGCTCCGTTATAGTAATAGAGATTGGAGAGGCTTTCTTTCGCGAGGTAATCCGCTGAAACGTGCCGAATGCACACAACGTTCTTGCTAATCATCCGCATGGGATTCGCTGCTCGGTCGAGCCCTTCCATGCCATACTTATTGGCTGAACCTGAGCGTTCAGTTTTATTCCTCGTAGTCGTCGGACCGGATCACTCTCAAGCGAATGAAGCGGGAGTGACGGTTGGTTTATTTATGTACGAGGAAGGCTTCATCAACATCGGTTCAATATACAAGTGAATACCAAAGAAGAAGATCATAATGAAACAATTAAAATGATTTCAGTTAACGGAATAGTTAAGAACAATAATTATTCAGGAAATAAAATCATATCGCCACTGGACAGCATCTTAAAAAAAATTCAAAGCGATGTGAAAAAATAACTTCATGCTAACTAGCACAGTTGGTTCTTTGTTTCACTCTCGATTTCTCAAATGTGGTATGACTTCTTACTAATCAAGCTGATGTACCAAACGTAATGAGGAGTGCTGGTCAAAGGTGAAATAAGGAAATAAAACGTAACGCGAAGCAGCGTGTTGAGTTGACCGCGAAACTGCATGCAAGTGCCTAACGCAGAATTAAAATGGTCGAGCGGAGACTGGAGACAAAAGCTTTCCCGATGTCCGTCTCCCTTCCTTGACGGTTGTAATCACACAGGACATCGGGGTTCCCTCTTAAATTATACATGTGAATCTACTCTTGTCGGATTCCCTGTAACGAGATGTGGAGTGGATCCACGTGGACACGTGCTTTGTCCTAATCTTTCCTTCATTTCGCTGCTCTGACGGATGCGTAATTGATTTGATTTGTATGCACACGTCAGCAGACTGTCATGCTTCTATCTACTCCCCATCAGCTTACCTTTCTGGTTCACGTCTCGATCGTCACCGTAACCCATCTCATATCAGAGAGTGAGTGAAGACCATCGGCAAGAAGATGGCGGAAAATGAACATCCATCGGAGGTGATTCACTCGTGGTCTGCTCCAAGGTCGCTCAGTACTAGTCTCATGTACTCCTTTGCTCAGGTAACTTTTCTTTTTCTGCTTTTTAACCTGTCTTCTCTTTGCTAGTTGCAGTGTAGATGCGTTATTTGCTTTTTTGAGACTGGTCTATTTTGGGTATTTGTGACTCTTCACAGCATCGCTTAGTCCGTGCTTGGCTTGCCAAGGTTTGGTCATGGGTTATTTTCTTTCATTGAAATCAGCATGTGGCAACTGGAAATTTGTGGATTCGTTGAGAAGACTAAATAGACTTGTGGTTGTTAATCTGGTGCGGTATATGATTCCAATGAGAATTGTTATTTTGCTGACTTAGTGATGGATCGTTCTCCTAGTTATTGCTAGGACGTTGCTGTTGAACATTTGGAGGGGAAAATAACGAACTTTTTTGAAGAATGAGTTTTGCTCCTCTGAAAACGGTTCGAATAGAAAGCGTAATATATAATTAGTATTGGCACTGAGCTGTATACATGACTTTCTTAAACCCAAGTTACGTTTATGATGCATTGGCATCGGTCCCTCTTTTGGCTGCCCATTCAGCGGTAAATAAATACTGATGCAGTAGGAATTCATCCTTAAGCAGCTACTTTAGTTGCTTCATCTGATTTCCAGAAAAAAAAGATTTACGGCTCTGTTCTTTTGGGTCCAAAGTCCAAACATAAAACTTTCCGTACTTTTTGCCTTGCTTATAAGCTGATAAAAACTTGGAGCTTCCTAGCTTTTTGATTCAGTGCTTATCTGGCTGTCATATCATGATTTAGAGGGATGATATGGAAGTGCTTGATGAGCCCCTTTATGCAAATTTCCTAAGAGTAACAGGTCTCAACAGACCTTACGGGGAAGAGCTATTGTCCAAAATGGTACGTCTGCAATTTTTTTTATCATATTTTTTCCTCCTCATCTCCGAACGCTTGATTAAAAGAATTAAGATGATTCTCTTATGGTTTATTGTTTGAAGAGCATTCATAGGGCCAATGTGGTTCAACATGGAGCTGATTTAATTGTTAATTTTCTGTAATAAAGAGGAATTTGATTTTCATAATTTGTCAGGCTCACTCTTTTTATTACTGAAGAAATATCTGCATAATTAATCCTAAAATTCATGTGTTCCTGCTCGGCTTGCGCTTTTCACTGAAATGTTGATGTTCCGATTGTAACAGGAATCTGATGGAAATAAAGTTATAAAGAACATCATTTATGGTCCAGGAAGCAGGAAGTATAAATACTGTAAGGTAAAGAACTCTTTCAAGACAAGCAATTAGCAAAGAACACTTAATTATAGATACAGAAGTGGAGCAGTTTCTTGGACAATTATTTTGGCTGGTTTGAAGTTGTTAGTTATTATGGAAGTAACTTATTAGACTAGTTATCTAAATCTCGAGTGTTCTGTATTAAGTAGCTGAAACTCATATTCTTGGTTCAGTATATCTTTTGTGAGGACCATATATACCCATTTTAATCATGTCTAGAATCTTCTCTAGCTTTACTTCATATGGTAGCGTAAGTTAATGATTCAGTCCCGGGAAGAGTAACCTATCATGCTGGCTCTTCATATTAAATCCTCTGAGTAGTTCAAGGACTAAAACATTAAATTACTCTACATTATAAAAGTTCTTATCTTGTATCTGTTTCTTTGAATGTGAATTTGCCTATTGAATAGTTCTTCAGAAAGACTATAATGGTCGACAAATAATTCCATCGCTAACCTATCTCCAAGTTTTACCCCTACTTGTTGCCTCCAGCATATTGCAAAGCAACGGTTACAAGGCTTGACAGATGATCTGCTGAACAAAGGAAAGCACTTTATTCTGATAAGAAATCCTCTTGACATTTTGGTAAGATGTATTTCTTAAAAAATATTTTTCATTTATTTCTTGTTTATCTCTAAATCCACAAGCTAGTGCAGCATATTGCTGGCTAGTACCAAACCATGAGCTTCAAGTTTAAATGATGTTTAAGAGATATTAAAAGTATGTGTCTTAGTAATGTTTGTAGGCTTACATAATTATCCGCCGTCACTGACTGATTTTTCTTGTATGATTGGCCTTATTGTGTGTCCAGCCATCCTTTCACAAAGTTGTGCCTCCATCATTTTTTGAGTTGGGTTTGGCAGAACTTGTTTGTATATACAATGATCTTCGTGAAAGGGGAAAACCACCACCTGTCATTGATGCTGCAGAACTTCAAGAAGATCCTGAGGTACTCACGCTCTATGAGCATGCGCAATTGTTATCATTAAAGAATGCATGACAGCGTGAATAAGATTTCATGGTAGCCATTGGTCTATAATTTCTTAGTTTCAATATTTAGACTGTTCTCTAGTTTTATTGTCAAATCAATTTAAATTAATGAATCCTTTTGTATAACTGCAATCATAATCAGTTTTCACTTGTGTGAATGATGTTAAAATTCATTGTACTCTATCCGATTAATGGTTTTTATAGTTTGATTTTAGACTAGAATGCACAACATTCTAGGCCATGTGCAATTAAAATTAGATGATGGAGCCCTCAAACATCCAATTTTTGTATGGAAGAGTTTGATTAAATGGGACCCCAAAACTCCATTGTGTAGATAACTCTTTAAATTTTGAGTCATGTGCAAATAACCCATTAATGTTCTCACTTCCGTAACGAATTCACTAACAACAAGGAGTTGGGTGCACATAATATCAGGTTTTGGAGGCTTCATTTTCATTTTCTGATGGTTAGGAGGATTATCTTCACATAGATTAGAAGTTCAAGGGTGTTTTATGAATTCTAGCCTGAATATTGTGGTGTTAGATTGCTAGCAATGCTTAGCTCGTCACTAGTGGAAAAAATTGCTGTTCTTCTGTGCTGGTCAACCACCATTCTTCTAGACAATTTTCTTTCCAAGAGATTTTTTTAAAATTTTTTAATGAATGAGAGTCTTCTTTTACTATTTTGATTTCACATGTTTTCCATTATAAAGTGAGCCAAATATATGTAGAGATCTTAATTTTTACCTATGCTGCACATGTGTATAATAATTTTGTTGCTTTGAAGGCTACGCTGCGTGGTCTTTGTGATGATTTGGACATTCCTTTCCAACCTGACATGTTGAAGTATGTAGAACTTCTCTAAGGAAAGTTATCTTATCTTGTAAATTTGTGCTATGCCTTTCTTTCAATGACAATTTAATATTCCTGCATAATGTTTATAACTATTCTCCTGCTACTGTCACTTTATATGCATGCATCATAGATTGACACCATAAGCCTGCCAGGTGGGAAGCAGGTCCAAAACCAATAGATGGCTTGTGGGCCCCTTGGTGGTATAAGACTGTACAGAAGTCTACTGGTTTTAAGCCAGCAAGGAAGTATCCTCAGGTATGTGGTTTGTTGTTGTTTGAGATTAGCAGAACTGTAAGGTGTCCTGGCCACTTCATTTGAAGAAGGCAGGACATTTTTCTTTTTACATAGGAAGGTATTTTGACAAAAATTCTGTATACTTTATCTTCTTTGTAGCCATTTCCCTTTTCTTTCTACGATTTGCTGGAGCAAAGTCTACCCCTCTACAATATGCTTCGACGCCATGTGAAGAAGAAGTCATCCCTCCTGAGCCCTCCTTTCCCTCCACCTGATCTTCCAGTTCCTGCAAATGAGAAACTTCTTGCTTGGGTTGGTGATGAGATTGTGCCACGTGAGAGTGCAAAGGTTTGATTGACGCCTTAATGTCTCTTGTCAGCAAATAAGATAAAGGATCTAATTTGTATGATTTTTGCACACATTCTAATTATTTTACTATTTGCCCGGTCATCTATCAGGTCTCTGTTTTTGATTCAGTTGTTCAAGGCGGCGATTCAGTTTGGGAGGGTCTTCGGGTGTACAATGGAAAGATTTTTAAGCTTGAGGAACATCTAGACAGGTAGTGTTAGTGATAAATTAGTAAGTTAATTCCTGATGCTGACATTTTATTCATGTTTCAAAATCTGGTTAAGTGATTATTTAAACATGCATAAACTGAAATAATTAGCATAACATTATATATGGAATGAATATGGGTAAATCATTAACTGCAAGAAAGTTATTAGTACGAGCGCTATTTGCTAGCACTGGCATTTGGAGATGGTTTCTTAGCAGAAGATACTATATTCCATGCTTGCTAAGTTATACTTTAGTGGTGAAACTTTAGTCATTTGAAAACATTTGGTCTTCATCACTGTTGTTGATCTGACATGCCATGATTAACATCAGGATGTTTGATTCAGCAAAAGCTTTGGCTTTTGAAAATGTTCCAACCCGAGATGAGGTGAGTTTGTTCAGAAAAAATATATCTTGAATTGTGGTCTCACCCTTGTCTTACTATGCCGTGTTATGGTACTGGATCTTGTTAAGTTCACTGTAATGTGTGGTTGCAAAAATAAATTGCAGATTAAGGAAGCAATCTTCAGAACACTAATTAGGAATGGGATGTTTGACAACTCGCACATTCGGCTTTCTCTGACAAGAGGAAAAAAGGTTGTACTTACTCTCTCGCAAAATTTAATTTCCAAAGGCAGGTTAGGATCTGAATGAAATATTAGATAAGACTGAGGAGATGTTAAGCCCTGTGCTTCAAGTTTCCTTTTATTTTTATTTTTTTAAATGATTTGATGGGTTATGGATAAACCGGGTGTGATAAGCCGAACGATAGTCTTTGTCTTTTTAATTGGTGACCCAATTTATAAAGCCATTAATCTTATGTAACCCTTAGGTCCAACCTTCCTTTGAAGTGATGCAAAATTATATTATTTTCTTCTCCAGGTTACATCTGGAATGAGCCCAGCATTCAATCGTTATGGATGCACATTAATTGGTAAGTTCCTTTCCCCACACTGTATAACGATGATATTCTATGATTATCTTTATAATACGGAAAGAGATTTTCTGAATCAATTTGAAAATTTTCAATGGAACTGACAAGATTACTTTCATTCCAGTCGCCACGATTATCCTTTTCCTACACTTGTGTTTTTCACATGTGCAGTGCTTGCTGAATGGAAGCCCCCTGTTTATGATAATACCCATGGTATAGTACTAGTGACTGCTACAACTCGTCGAAATTCACCAAATGTAAGCTTCTAATTTTTATACTAGTTATGAAAGAAAAGTTCATCTTAATTGTTTCTACCTGATTTTGTGAACAGTAGAAAGTGCCTTGTGTATCCTGGCAGATAACAGTAAAATTGTTTTTCATCCAAATCTCCTTAATCAAAGTTGTGTCTGGCCATTATGTCTGACAATAGTTGGTATTATTTCAATTGAACGAAATTCTGTTGAAATTATTTCTTGTTACTACAATGTGATATTGTTATAGAATGTGAACCATCGGCATACTGCTTTAGTGCATCCAGTTGACTTTGTCTTCTCTCCCTTTTTTGTTTTCTGATCAGAATCTAGATTCAAAGATTCATCACAATAACCTCCTTAATAACATACTTGCGAAGGTATTTTGTTTTTCTCCTTGGAAATATTTCCTATTCTGTAATTATACAAAATGCTCCTCCAATTCTAAATGTAAGACGCATTTTGTAGTGTAAATTACACTGCAAAATGAGTCTTATATTTAGAATCGGTATTATTGTTGTTATTTCGGGATGGTCTGCTACTGGAACGAGGATGGTTGCTGAGACAATATCTTGGTACTTATCCTTGTTTGAGTGACGTATGTGATTTGGCATTTGCAAAAGACACGTCGAAGATTTACTACCACGTGGGGGTAATTTGATTCACAAATACTAGCATGATAAAATGCACTGTTTCAGAACTTCTTGTCAGGCTTAAGGGTCATTCTTATGGATATTTCTGATGGACATCACAATTGTCAAAAATGTTGGTGCAGATTGAAGGGAATAATGCAAATGCAAATGATGCAATCATGCTCGACAAAGATGGTTATGTGTCTGAAACCAATGCAACTAACATTGTATGTCCTCAACTTCGTCTTACCTGGCAGATTTTTTTTTTTTTTAAACCATTCTGGTCATTATATGCTACAGCTTACAAGGCTTAAGAATTCTGTGAATGGGAGAAGATGAAAGGAAAAGCCTCTCTGGGAAATGAAGTCAGTATATTTAGAAACATGTACTTATAGGTCAACCATACAAAACAAGACATAAAACTCGACATCTTAGGCCCCTTTGTTACAACCTTAATTATTGTCATCATGCAACCGTTAAAGTCCTATCTTAGTAAGCAAACCTAGCAGTACACCCCAATGCCTACAAATGTAAGATAATCATCCTACAGATGCTACAGTACAATAATACAAGGTGACTTCATCTTTAATTTGCGGTCTCAGAGGGTAACAGATCCCCGCTTCTCATAATTCAAGGATCATGTATTCTTGTTTTGTGTTTTCTTTTTTCACTTTTCGATAAGGATTTCTAGAACCGAGAGTCTTCCTACATGAAGACAGTATAATAAATATAGTGTAGGTTAATCTTGAATGTGCAGTCGCAAAAGTGACAACTCCCCTTGTTTTATTATTTAAGAAGGATCATATGCTGTTGTCTTCTATTTTCCCTTCTTTGGCAGGGATTTCTAGAACAGAAGAAAATGGATTGCAAGTATTGGTTGGTAACAATTGGGCTAATATTTTGGTCTTCTTGCAGTTCATAGTTAAAAAGGGCCGTGTTTTGACACCACATGCTGATTACTGTCTGCCTGGTGTTACACGAGCAACTGTAAGTTGTAGAGACTAGGTTTATAACAGCTGCTTGACATGGATGACTGAGACCTGACTGAAGTAAAGCGTATTCTGCAATTAATGAGATTAAGCTGTTTACTAATTTCAGGTGATGGACCTTGTAGTGATGCAGGAGTTAGTATTGGAGGAGAGGAGAATTAGTCTATCTGAAGTTCATACCGCAGATGAGGTTCATGTCTATTTCTCTTTTGACATGTCCACTGCTCTAATTATTTCTTGTTGTGGTGACGGTATATAGCCACTGGTTGGGGATCAAATAGGAAATTTGTAATTTTCTTGATTTCTCACTGAACTTTGGTGGCCTACCTACTGATACCTAGCAAAATAGAAGTTTGATCCAATTCTGTACTTGAATTTAGTTATTTTAGTTCCATTGCTTGATTATGTGAGGATAGGCTAAGCATGATAGTCCTAGTGCTCTTTTAAGACCTACGAACCTGAAAGGAATTGAGATCCTTTTCCTTTTCCTTGCTTCAATTAAATTTGAGCTGAGTTATAACTGGGAGGCTTTCTTGCAGATATGGACAACAGGAACAATGGGAGAACTCAGCCCAGTAAGTAGTGCGTTATATTTGATAGATTGAAATTTGCCTGAATGAAGTTTGCCATATTTACATATTATTAGTGGCCCATTTGGCTCCTCGGGGTTCATGCCATTTGCTGTTTACATTTATCAACATACCATGAACACAAAAATCTGATGATTGACGCCAATTGGTCCAGGTTGTGAAGGTTGATGGTCGCATAATTGGCAATGGAGAAGTGGGGCCAGTGACTAAGAGATTGCAGGGTGCTTACAAAAAGTTGACTGAGCAGTCCGGTGTACCTATACCCACCTACCTCCACAGTTGAAAGCTACACTTCATTTTTCCCCTGCAAGTCTTCTCTTCCAGCCTGCTTCTGTTAAAGACTGCAAGTTGCTGCTATGCCATTTCGTGTAAGTAAGTAACTATGACCTTAAATTTCTGTCATCAAAGAATAGATGTATGTTCTTTCTCGTGAACAATGACAGCGCTGTGTTCAATCACAGTGGACTGGACCTTTCTCCCCTCAATAAAAGGCCCTGTGGGTATCTTCTTTTTCCTCATTTTCTTTCCTCCTCCAGTTATGGAATGCATTCATTGGTGTTGTAAATTATCTTTCTAAATTGTATATTTTCTGAAAATGAAATATATATACACACACACCCTACTATAAGACCCAGTTGATTAATTTTAAAATATTAAAAAGTTAAATAAATTGTTTTAAAATATTATACTTATCAGTTTTCTCCAAACTAATTTATTCTACTTATAAACTACTATCTCTATTCTTATTTATAAGATCTCGTTTGTAAGACTAAAGATAGTAGTATACAATCTAATTATACATAAAAGTGTTTTAAAGAGATTACATAACATATGTTATAATTAAGTTTTTTTTTTAATTTTTTAGAATTATTCAATTGATTTTATACACTGTGGCCGGAAAAAGTGGAACGCGTCTGGTCTAAAATATCCTGCTTGTAAGTCTCCAAGTTTACTTTCACGTCTGCCAACAAGAAATACGGAAAAAACTTCTTAGTATAGTTCATGATGTTGTCTTTTTTTTTTTTTTTCCCCTCCCTTTTGAATCTATTCGTGATGTTATTCTCACATGATCTGAATTCCATGCTCATTTCACAGAATCACAAGGACAGAGACCGCATTCTTGAGTTAAGAAAGCAAAAACAAAACAACAATAAAAATACACCATGTTTTAAGCGTAGCAAGGCTTAGATAAATACACAACCAAACAAGACCTTGGTTAAGGTTGGCAGAGATGGAGAGAAGAGAGGTTTTAAAAATCATAAACGTTGTCGACTTTCTCTTCCTTTTTTTAGCCTAAAAAAAGGCATGAGAAAACATGTAGGGATTAATTAGCCAAAGGATTTTTTTTTTTACTTTTCCTTATCCAATGCCCACCATTAGATTAAAAAAAATAAATTGTTAAGATTTGATATTTTTATAAAATTATAATTTTTCATTTTTAGAGATATAAAATGCTTTCTCGGGGTTAAAAAAAATTGAATTTTGACCCTCGTGAACATTGAACACTGATCAAAGCAAACCAATGTCCTTGCGTTGCCTTCCAAGACACTACCGCAAGGATCTCCCACCGATGAAGGAGAAGCCCGCCAAAAAAACCACCTTTTAATATGTAATTATCTTATATTTAATATTATCAGTTTATATTCCGATATTGTTGAATTATTTAAAAGTAGCTCTCTCAATTGAAATCCATTTGCTGATTTCGGTCCGTTATATAAAGTATCTTTCAAAAATGGAAGGAAAAAAAATTCAAATTAATTATAAAGTATTTATTCAAAAAATTAAATATTTTATTTGGCCCTTATAATCATGAAATTGCATAAATTACAAAGGTGAATAATATGTACATCGTTTTTAATTTAAATTAAAACGTTTGAATTTTTTAAATTTTTTAGTAGATACTACTTCTTGTTCTTAATATAAAAACTAGTTTAATATTCAATTTGGTCATAAATATTAGACTTCAATCCACTTTATTTTTTCTATTTATCTATTTTTCTTAAAACAGTTCTTATAATAGTTGCATATATTAAAGGTTTTATAAAATGGTAGTTCTAGTTAATATACATAATTAATAAGAATATCTTAGGAAAAAAAGAATACTTATTTATTACAAATAATTAAATTAACTAATTTTTTTAATTTTAAAATTAGTCAAACTAACCGTGACATTAACAACACAATATAATACCATCTCATAACTACCCCTATTTGTTTTTTTTTGACCAGAACTACCCCTATTTGTTTGCGTCCAAAATAACGGGGAGGAGTACATGTACATGTTCTTGTCAATCTAAAATCCTGGCTTTTAGGTCGACATCCGTATGTTTTGGGTATAACTAAAATGATAGAGCTATGATTTCATTTTGATTGATGAGAAACATCAGGTACGAAAGCTGTTGACATTACTGTATAAACGACGATGATGAATTGATGATGTAAAATTTGCATAAGAGCCTCAAGCCTCGGCTTTGAGGCGCTGCTGGTACAGGGCCAATGAGTCATTGACCCCATAAAGTAAGGAGGACAGTCCTATGATGACAACTTTTTACGTGAAAAAGCTTACACCTTTACTGTGTCCAACAGTGAGATTTTGTCAGCTTGTGTGATATCCAGGGGGGAAAATGTGGCTACAGATGCAAGTAACTTTTTTTCTTGGGACAATGAATGTTGCATATATATATATATATATATATATATATATTTTGACCACCCTGTGTTCCTGCAGAAAATTCTCTTTAAGTTCCAAATAATTAATTTGAGGTACAAAAGTGCTAAAGAGTTGGACAGAGAGAAAAGAAGGGGAGTCGGGCCCAATCACGTATGGGCTGTGTTCCTCAGATGAAATCATAAAATCGCACAGAGAGAGAGAGAGAGTAAGGAATATATCTGGGCCAGCCCTAGTCTTTGGTCGTCTTTTCCATCATCCTTTTGCTCAATTATACACTAGATCATTCTCCCAATTTACAGAGGAAAAGGGAATAATTTTAGTCGTGGATGAGCATGCTGAGGGAAAAAAAAGCGCATCACGAACTGTGTCATTGATCTCGAAAGAAGTAGATAATGTCCCTGGTGGACCAACAAAGATATATTTATATAAAGAGATCAGGGTATATTCAACATTCACTTTGTTTGCTGCAATTATTAGTGTCTCGCGTTCCTTTTCACAAAGCAATTTGCTGTTTTTGGGAGGGCGATTATCTTTATTTTTCCAGCGACTCACTCCTCCTGTTGCTTTACTCTCGTGGAGTCATGACCTTTCTACATTGATAGCTTTGCCGGGGCATTTTTCCTTTTCCTCTTTATTCTTTGTTTTTTTTGCATGTTTCTTTTCGTTTGCTTAGGAATTCAGCCGCAGCGTAACAACCTGGATCCGTCCCAATGTCCGGGCGTGGGTAGAACATGTACAACAAACACTTTGCTTTAATTAAGCCTCTTCCTCTGGCAGTTGGTTTGGAACAATGCGTGCGAGAGAGAGGGAGAGCGGGAGAGGGATTGGAATCTATGGAAAGTGAAGAGGGCGTGCAAGAGAACAAGAAGATAAAAACAAAAAGAGGGGGTTGGGGTGGGGGTTGGAGTCGGAATCTTCTAAAACAAAAAAACCCCGAGCTTCTTCGCGATATGATGCAGAACGTACGTTCAGAAAGCCCTTCTCTTCTGTGGTTCATGTGAATTCTGACATTGTAGCCCAATTACTATAAAATATTAATCAAGATAGCAAAGGAAGAAGGGATCTGGGTCCCACCCCAAAAAAAGGATTCTGCAAATAGCCAAGGACATCATCGCGCAATCATCAGCCCTCTTGAATCTCGCTACCTCTGGTCCCTGGTATATATATATCAGCCATCTCGCACATAAATTATAATAAATAAAAAAAAGGTGTCAAGTTATTTTATCTGTTAATCAGAGCATATATAAATATTATTCATCCTTTTTACTGCAGAGGGAAGCTTGGATTGGAAAAGATGAAGCTGGATTCACTATGAATGCATGCTACTCACAATAATTAAACAGCGCTTCCGTGCAAATGAGACTACTGCGCCCACACTCTATTACGTTGGACACTATATAATATGAGCTAGCTGATCGACCCATGGTTTAGATGCTGCTTTGGCATTATTATGACTGCGATATCATCTCAGATTCGATGATTTTTTTTTCCTTTCCCTTTACATATAATGACAGGATTGAAAAGGCCTGACACAGACGAGGTATTCAAATTATTTGAAAAGTGAATGGCCACAATCTTTGATATAACCATGAATAAGCTGGTTGTTAAAACTTGGCCAGTGTATATAATGAAGCTAATGAATTTGCTGTCAAACAACACTGCCCCACTAGGAATATACAATATTAATTAGCGTCTTTGAAAGAAAAGAGCACTGTGCTTTTTAAGATGGATCCATATAGCTTTATTCTGTTTTTGTGAAAAGAAATCACCATGCATGCTGCTGAACACCAGAAATGAACCTTCATTTTTAACCGCAGCGATTCGTCCGTGAACTCAGTCGTACAACTTCATGGCCCATTCACTTTTGCTCGTTACCTTCCTTTCAGTCTGAGTCATCCATCCCCCTCTACGTTTTCCTTTTTAAATGCCTCTTTTCCCTCTGTGTTGCTAAATTGCAGAATTATTGATTGCAGGTGAAAAAAGATGATGATTATATGAAGAAATGGTTGCATCATGAATTAGTACTGCTAATTACCCGTACGTACACTATCCCACACCACGCACGCATATCTATGTTAGGGGCAGCCTCGTCCATGCTGACTCACCACCTTGTGTAACCATGTTCTTCCCATTTTACTTTAATCATTGCCCATTTAAAGTTTTGGTTCCTGTTCTTTTGTTTTTAAGATATCAATTCATCATTGCATTTTTTACTTTCCGCAACTATCAGGACATTCCTAACATGATAGATAATCAAAATGGTTTCTTGAGAAATGGTTCTTTTCATCTCAATTTCTTGCCTTCGGCCAGTCAGGGAGCCCCTTCTGTTTTTACTTCTACATCAACAGAGAATAAAATTTTCAAACGAATCATTTCTTTCGTGACCATTAATAGCTTAGCATTCAACATTAAATTCATTAGTCGAACTCTGAACTGACCTCCGAGTTTCTTGTATATTATGTCAGGTTTTTAGGAAAAGTAATAAATGATAGCATACGTGCCATGTTTTATGTGGTATGAACTTTAGAAAAGATGAAAAGATTGAAAATAAATCGTACCCACATCATGATTCTATTGTTTGAAAAATATGACAGCATGGTTATAACAAAATATACAGTTTAATTAATCAGCTGATGAGATATTCAACACTCAGCTGTGCTTTTAAGTGAAAAAGGAGGGGGTGGAAAGCCTGAGCCTTTGAGGGGTGCATAGAGGTAGATGCAGATAAAAGGGTTAGGTCTGGAAAGCAGTTTTGGTAGCAGTCATATACCCTGAAATTCCACCTATTCAACTACATCCCTCTTCTTTGACCATTTTCCCCGGCGACCCTCTATTACATATAATTGC